CAGATTCTCCAGCATCTGCAGTTCCTACTATCTCTGAAGCAGATTTTTCAGAGCAGGTTTCATCTCCATGAGATGAAAGCTGTTAATAGAAACATATTTTGCCAGTTTGTAGTGACAGAGCATCAACCAGGCAGAGAAAAGCCTCAAGGGAAGGGTTTATATAATTGTAATAATGTTGAATTAATACAGCAGAGCTGTGCATTTACTAAATGCTTTCGTCACTTGTTCTTATCTTCAAGTAGTTACAGACTTTTAAGTTCCAAGTCAAGGTACCTATTCATGCCTTCAATATAATTACACTGTCCGACTTTAATATTTATATGTATGTTGGCAATGGCTCTGTATATTGCAAAGAGAGGGAAATAAAAGTTTTTCAGGCAGGGCACATCAGGTACCATATTTACAATTTCTCTTTATCTTTGTATTTAGGGAAAAAAATGCCTATTGAGCAGCACTGAATACACTTAGCACTCACCAAGGTATGTGCCAACATTCATATACAAGCAATTTGCTGAGTAGCAGTTGCCCGTGAAAGTTTCATTTTACCAGAAGACCTATCACTGAATTATGCCACATGCTATAAGAACTAGTTCTGATTAGAGATCAGTAGACCTGAAATATTGACTCTCCTTTCTCTGGACAGATGCTGCCAGACTTGCTGAGTTTCTCTAAGTTCTGTTTTTTTTGTTGTAGCATAAATTGCAACCATATGGCCTTATCTAGTACTTTGCTAAATACTGCAATTTACAACAACAATGAAGCATTCAACCCTTGCTTATGACCATTCGCACCATATTGTGCTCATTAATATTTATTTCACTGGGTGTTGCCTTAAAATTTCCATTTTGAGATACTCCATCATCTAGCCCTTTTGATCCACAAAGACCAGGCTTGAGTTGGGGCTTGAAAAGTCCAGACAATAATTAGTAGTGCTGAGTCATGATACCCAATTGGTGTTCCATGACATAACGTGCTCTCTGGGATAAAAACAAACATTTCAGCATCAAGAAAATATTTGAGTAAATCAATAGCATGTTAGTGACATGGTTTTGGTGTCTGAATTGATGTTGGACTATCCTACAATATACTCTTTTTGGGGCCATGAAATTTGATGATGTTTGCCAAAATTGTATTTAAAAGAACGTTGAAGATGGAGGCCTCTGCAGCAGTAAGAGCATTAACGAGGGAAGGGCAGATGCAATGTGATTTTGCACAATGAGGACTGGAAACAGCGACATGAAAGTTAATCACTGTTAAAGATATAGGAGGCATTTGTAGGAGATAATAAAGGCTCTGAACAAATACATTCCCATGAAGAATAGTGGTACCCTCAAATCTAGATCCTCCTGGAAATCAAAGAACATGGATATTTATCTACCTCAGCTTTGAACATGCTTAAAAACCCAGCCTTGACAGTCCAGTTTGCATTTGGTCTCACCCATGTAAATGAGACAGGCAAGAGTACAATAGACAATATTGAAAGAATTACAATAAAATGCTGCTTCACCTGAAAGATGCGTCTGGGGCCCTGGACAGCGAAGAAGAAGGAGGTGAATGGGCAAGTATTACGCCTTCAATGATTGCATGGAAACGTGCCATGCAGAGTAAGGAAGTTTTACTGGTAATGGAGGAATCAACCAGAGTGTTATGGAGGGAGTGGTCCCTGTGCTATGTTGACAGCGAAGGAAAGGGGAAGATGCGTTTGATGGTGGTATCCTGCTAGAGGTGTCAGAAATGCAAAAGGATGTACCCTTGAATGCAGAAAATGGAGGAGTGGAAAGTGAAGAGGGATAGGGATGAGTGCAGAGATGTGGGAGATGAGTTGGACACATTTGAGAGTCTTGTTAAACACAGATGAGAGTTTTTCACACTCCTCTGGTGACATTGTTTTTGGTGAGTCTTTGCAAACAATTAATTGCCACCTAATGGGGATTAGAATATGGAATTTGTTGGAAATTAATTAGCCATCTTGGATGAGAGTTCAAGTTACCAAGTTTTTAAAATCTGTTTTAAAAAAGTTCAATTCATTTTTCTAACCAGTGGGGGTTAAAAAGCAATCTTTGGCATGAAATCACATTTTCGTGATGATGCAAATTAGGGGAGCACAGAATGGCAGGGAATGAGAAAACATTTTGACAAGTAAAATCAAGGTAAACACAATGATGCATTGTAAATAATAAAGAGCAAAAAAAACAGTTAATGTTATTCACTAGAAGATAACTGTGTTTAAACAGAATGCAGTGAAAGTTTTAACGAGAACCTAATTTCAGCTAACTACATTCCATAAAACATTTGCACTGCTGATTACTAGCTCCCCATATTTAGACAACCAATTCAGACCCAGTTAGCTCTTAATTAATGTATCCATCACCTGTTCTCTCATTCCATTAGGTCTTGGGCATGTCTTCAGGCCGTATTAGATGATAGCAGTTAAAAGATGTCTGTGTTTTTGGAGGTAACTGATACATTAATAGTTCCTAGTGAAGGATTTGGCGTCACAAAAGAGGGGGATGATGTGATAATTGTATTTAAGAAGTGTGAACTATCAGACTGAGTGAAGGAATATGATAAGGTTTAGCACCTGTGAGAGTGGATACGTTGCCAGGTCTGGAAGAAATGTAATCCAGGTTACTAAGAAAAGCAAGGTAGGAAATTACAGGGGCACTGACCATCATTTTCCAATCTTTTCTGGCTATTGTGCCAGAGAACTGTCACGTTGCCATGTGTACTCCAATGAAAGGCAAGACTTGAGATCATAGCCTTCTTCTTGTCTCTCATTCCTGTGTCTATGTTTTCATTTTCCTATAATTTCCTTCAATTATAAACCTGTAAAAGCATTGATATTTTTGTGCTTCCACTTCCCCTTTATCCTTAATCTTCCATTCATAAGATCTTTTACAAGTCTGTTTCCTTTGAGATATGCACATACCCAGTCTCGGCTTTTTACTACTTAAGTTCAGCAAGTATTTTGTTTCATTTGTTCTCCTCACCATTTCATCCCTTGTTACTTTTTTTGTATCACTGATCCTTTCAATTCTCCTCAAAACCCACATTAAAAAGTTATTGTAAAAATTAATCTGCTTTTTCAATAAGGTCACATCTCAAAACATATTGTAATCTTAAGTTCACACTAATCTTATTATTTTCCCCCAAATCGTAAACCCAGATTCTCTGTTTTCAAATGTTTCTTTAATCAATTCTTCTATATCGACATTGAAGATGACCAGTGATAAGCAACATCCATTTTGTACTCCAGTTCCAATTGTAAATGGTTCCAACTGCCAGTTGGCTACTCTCCGTGTTGTTTGTCCCATGGACAGATTTCTTATTATCTGTGTATTTCTCCAGTCTGTTCCAATGTCTTTCAGGACTGTTAAGTTTTTAATCCAGTCAATCTGATCAAATACTTTTATGAAATCTACAAAACAAACACACACATTTTCCTTTCAAATTCTAAACTACATTCACTCATTAATCTTATAATTCCCATTGCTTCTCAAGTCCTCTCTTCTCCCAGAAACTGGTCACCTTCAATGTCATTCTGCATCTTCCCATCCACTCTCTGTGTTACAATTAATTGCTGGGCAATAAAGAACTTAAATATTGCTAAAAAGCAACACAAAGTCAATTTTTTTCACCTCACAGTCATCAGAGCTGGACTGCAAGAAAACCACACTTAGGAGGGGAGCAGCAATTTGAGTGTGGGGCAACAATTTATCTGTGGGAAGTAGGAATATGAAAATTAATGGTTCCTGCTGTATCTCCATGCCAACCCATGGTCCAAACAATCAGCATCCATGCATAAAATATCGCTCCCTTTCTAGGTTTGGTTTCTTGCACCCCAGTTCAGGCAAGTGCAAAATGGAACATTTCAACATTTTGTCTCTTTTTAGCAATGTTTGTTACAACTTTCAATACTCTTACAGTGTGTGGACAATCAAACTTATTGGACAAAGTCAGTACATCAGCATGCCATTGACTCATTTCTTAAGATGATCATTATTGTCTGCATGTAATTCTCTGGCTATTCTTCTGTAAGTGGATATCTTTGCACAGCTTAGTAAATATTTTTGTTATGTCCTTTCATTGCTTTTAATAAATTCTGCATACATTTCATCGATTCCAGCTGCTTTTCCAGATTTTATCATTTGTTGCTGCTCTTATCTCACTCTCAAGCATTTCTGGACAAATGAAATTAGTGTTAATGTTATTCTCTTTTAGCTCTATCATTCCAGATTTTATCTTTTTTTTTGCAAACAGTTCCTCAGTATATTCCTTCCATACATTTTTCTAATTATGTAAGAGTTTACATTTTCCATGCTCTCAAATGCTGGATTTGTCAGTCCTTTATGTTGAGTACCAATAACCACCATTGTTATTACACATATAAGATCTGCTCCCACTCTCACTCATATTTAGCCCAGTTGAAAAAAAAATCTGTCTGTCACTAAATATTTCCCATTTATTGCCTTTTTAATGCTGCCCAAAACATTTCTTTATTTTCATAGGTTATGTTCTTCTGCAATAATTTGCAACTTCCAGCCTTAGTCATTTTTTTTAAATTTTATGCAATCCTGCTTTTTTTATATCTCTTCCTTTCCCATCTCCTATAAGAATCAAAAAGCTCCATCCACTGCCATGTTCAATTATTTCTTCTTTTCTATGACATACTTCCCCTTATTTGAATATTCAGTTTATTGGCATGTAAACCTGAATGATACCAATGTCCATTGGTTGCCCTTTTAGTTTCACTAGCAACACTTTTTGATTTAGTTTCAGAACAGAATTGAGGCCCTTTTACAGTTTTTTGTTTTAACAATAGCTAATTTCAATCCTTGCATAATATTAAGCACCTGAAAGTGTAACTGCTGAATAAATTGAATCCATAAAATGCATTCCTGCAAACTAAACTTAATCTGGAACAGCAGGGATCGATACTGTGCTTTATTTACATAACTGTCAGTTTTCCCTTGGTAATGCAAGGAATTCCTCAGGAAATGTATCTTAGTTTAGTGCCAGCTGCTTTCTCACATTGTATTCCTTTTTTAGTACAATTACACAATACCTGAAGATTGAATGGAACTGAATACTTTTGAACACTCCCACTTCAATGACAGACCAGATGTGGAAGTCCTCTTAAGCACATCTTATCTTTATGAATCAGAACAGTGTGAACTTTAAAGTAAATGTTTCCATGCAGATTAAAAAAAAAGAAACAACATCAAGTTTAAGGACCATAAGCTAATGGAGGCCTCTAATGCAGGAGATTTAGGGTGGTTCCACTGAGTTCATCCCTTAGTGTACAACAATATTTTTTTTTCATTTCAAAGACCCTTGTCATTTTTGGGAATGTGCCTGTAGTGTGTTGCTGAATGATGTTCAAAAATATTAACTGCTAACAATTTCAAGTTTGCTTTTACTGATTTAATACATTTTCAGAAAATTACAGAGATTTCATCTTCAATGAATGTTCTCCAAAACAAACTGTTGCTTCCCCAAATGTATTGCGCTGGTGGAAATTGATTTGCTTTGTGCTGCTCCCCATCTATTTGTCAAGGCATGAATAGTATCTTATTATCTCAGTACGAAAATAATTTCCTTTCTTTTAAGTAAAATCAGTCATTAGATACTAGGTACTGATTAATAGTCAGGATTCTGAACTGTCATTGTTGGGTGACTATGATCAGTGTTTGAAAAGGGAGAAAACATTCACGGGAGATTCT